AGGTTTTTGCACCACAGTCTCCCAGCTGGTAAAGTGGGGGAACTGGGATTTGAGCCCCAGCTCCTAGCCACCATGCTAGCTGCCTCTCCTGACTCCACGATCTCAGGACAAGGGGTACAGGGAAGTCAGAGAGCTGGGGCCATCCTGCTGGATGCCAACTCCATGGTGCTGGGCCACCTCCATTTGATTAGAAGCCACAAAGGGAATACACCTGTCCTCCAGTGTTCCCTAGAGACTGTTCCAGGACCCTTCCCCTGTACCCAACTCAGAAGCTCGAGTTGCTGGTATAAAATGGCATAGTATTTGCATACACATCCTCCCCTCCCATGTGCTGAGGTCATCTTTCGATTACTCCTAACACCTAACACAATGTCAGTGCTGTGTGCCTCACTTACAGGTTGTGTAGGGCACCATGACAAGAGAAGTGTGTACATATCTGAACATTTTTTTGGAATAGTCTTGATCCCTACACGGCCTGATCTCCTGGCAAGGAAGCTGCAGTAGGCAGAGGGCTATTTGTAACGACCTGTGTTCTCACTAGACCCACAGCAGAGGCTGCACATCACTCYCAGCGTTTCTTTCCTATGAGCCAGGTTAGGGCTTCAAAATCCTGAAGAGCACTAGAAAATCAGTACCAACTGACCCGCATTGACAGGTTCTTGCTGGCAGTGGGCTTGGGATGGCAGAGAGCAGAACGGAAGTGCAGTGTTGGGTCTCAGCAGGTTCGCTCTCCTGCTGTTGAGAGTCTGTGCGCCTTCCCTTAGGAGACTCAGCACCTTGCCATTGAGGCGTATTGGGAATTGCGAGAGTGAGCGCGCGCACGCACACACACGTTGAAGATTCCTAAGGAATCCATGTCAACCTTAGAAAAATCCAAGTGGTACAGGTTGGCACTGAGGGCGAGTTCCCCTGCCACACATGGGTCAATTGGACTGTGTACYCCACTTTGGGCATCACCCCAAATTTACTGTCCTAGCCCAAGGATACTGCTGGCCTTCAAATTAAAGGAAAACAAAACAAGGGGGAGAAAACACCAGTCTGTCAACATGGGCAGTAGTGAGCAGAGTGACTGTGAGGCAAAGGATGACAGTCCCCTGAACCCCAGCACCAGCACCACGGTGTAAATGGACAGAGGCGGAGGCCCTGGACAGAGGCCAAGCGAGGCTTGGGGACCAACATGGTGCCCAGCACAGAGAGCTCTCAGGGTACAGTGACTGCTATCACTGCCTTTTTTTGTTTTTAATCTTTCTTTTTAGACCACTGCCCCACGATTATCTAACTCAAACAGCAGCATGCCAAGTGCTTTTGTGAAATATGGATACATCCAGCAGAAACACCAGCAAGTGCTCTGCAAGCCTGCTCCACCTCTCCTAGCATCTTGAACAGATGAGGAGAGGAGCAGCACGTACTGAGAGGCTTAGGAAATTTTATGCAGGTACACCTTAAGATTGAGAAATTTTTATGAGCTTATCTTCTGAAACCTGCAAGAGACACTGACAATTCACACTGAGCTGTATAAAACTTCCCTTTCTGTGCAGTACCAGCCGGAGTGGGGCTATCCTGTGACACTGTTGTTAGTCTCCCGATTCAAACTTAATGCCAAAACTGCTCAAAACTGCCTGGCAGGGCTGAATCTCTACCTCCCTTTGATCTGCAATGAAGAAATCTAATATATGGCCTACTGTAGGCTTCCAGAAGTCGGACGGAGGTCACCAGGAAGCGGGAAGGGAGCGTTTCAGTAGCTCACAATCGCTGCTCTGTGCCCCAACAAAGGCCTGACCTCCTGAGCCATGCCTGACCTTTAAACTCCCACAAACATATGTATTTACTCAGCAATTACAATCTACACTACCAAAGGGCAGTTTAATCACGCCTATTAAAGGGAAGAAATTAAAGCTTGCCAGGATCCCATAACAAAAAAGCCAAAGTAGCATTTACACTCAGAAGAAAACAGAGAAGCCTCTTTTCACCAGTGTATACACTTTTTTCTCAGAGACCCTCCTTGTTCTGTAAAGTGAGGGATAGGTCTAAGCCAGGCCTAGCCCTAAATTACAGAAGCTGAAAAGTCCAATGATCAAGTCTTGAACTTCTCTCGTGTGAACAGCATGGTGGCGGCCCGGCTAAGTATGTTCTATGTGATCGGGCCTGCAGTGGTCTTGTTTTTAGCATCACTCAAGACTGAACTCTGCTGGGAGAACTTGAAAATACCACTTGCATCCATTTTGTAATCTAATGGTCATCCTGAGCAATGGCACTTGACTACTTTGAATAACACAGCTATTTTGAGAAGGTGGATACAGAGATGGATAAGAAACATTTAGATTTGAGGGTAAAGTCCCTGCCTTATCTGGGAGTGACACTGCAAACTGGTAGAAAACACCAAATTTGATAAAGCTGAAATGTACCCTGCGATTCTGGGGTGCCACTCCTGGGCATGCACAGTAGCAATGGAAAGTACGTGCTCCACTTGTACCAAGACGTGGATTCCATCAGAAATGCAGCCACCTTGTCAAAAGCTGAGCATTTCTTCAGTGGAATGGATCACTACCACACAGCAATGCAGCAAACATGGGGCTAGGCTGGTGGCACACTACTATGTCTCAGCTACCCAGGAGGCTGAGGCAGGAGGACAGTGAGTTTGACACCAGTCTGAGCAGCTTAGAGAGACCCTGTCTAAACAAATAAGCAAACAGAGCTGGGGATGCAGGCCATTGGCTTGTAGGATACAGAGCTCAGCTTGGCCTCGTGTCAGGCCCATTCAGGGCCCATCACCTCATCCTGCCCCCCACACAGGGGGAGATGAAGGGACACAATATGGAAAAGATTCCATCCTACACCATGGAGGCAGTGAATAGCCCCTTATCTTTCCAGAATCACTCTAGTGGGCTCGCATGTCCAGCACCATCCATCCCCACCCTGACAGATTTACCAAAGTCCCCCTCTGCCCACAGTAGGACCAATAGGACTTTCCCTTTTGACTTGATGCTTGTCTCCCCTTCCCAGAGACCCTTGGCACAGAGCTTGGACTAGGGTAACCATCCAGAATGATTTGATTTAGTCCTGTGACTTAGAATGGCTCTGATGACAAAGGGCTTCCCCTAGGGAACCAGAGGCTTCAGGATTCAACCTGTGTGGTGAGGAAAAGCCCAGCTCAGCACACACGAGAGGACAGGGCCTCTTTGTGACGTCCCCCCACACACCTGTGACCAGTGTCCCTCTTTCAAACTGACAGGGCGAGTGTTCTCATGTGTACCTGCTCTTTTGCCAAAATCCAGTTTACTGGACCGAGAACAGGGATTAACTACATGAACAACCTCTTGCCCACGTGTAATTTAGGAATAACTATAAAATAACACTTTCTAATAAATGAGAAATACAACATGCTCACTCTGCTTAGCAAGTTGAGAATTTAGAAGGCCTATTTTAGCCACTTCTTGAAAGCTTAATGGGAAGGAGGGATAAAGGCTGAATATATTCTGAGAACCGAGTGGTCACAAGGCATGGATAGACACAGAGATTGTGCTTTCCTATCTTAGACCAGGACAAGGAGTGATCTCCAATGTCCTTCCTCAAGGAAGGAATCTTGAGTGCTATCATGTCATGGCTCTGAATTCAGCTAAAATCAAAAACACACCACTATCAACTTCATGCTGAAGCCCAGGTTCATCATCGAAACTAAAAGAATAAAACCAGTGAGGAGGATCAGTTTTCAATGGAGAAATAAAGAACAAAGATACACTACCAACATCCTTAACTGATGGAGACGAACTGGATGGCAGAGGTCTCTTAAGACTTTCCTTATTCAACTGCAARTATTGTCTCTGAGACACTTAAAAAAAAAACCTAGAAATCTGTTTTGGAAGAGGCAATCAGAAGCCAATGAGATTATAAGAGGAAATCATTGAAGACTACCTGTCAACTCAAGTTTTCACTTTAAAAGCAACATGTGATGCTCCAAGGATAATATGAGAGCTTTTCAAAGGTATTCAGGAAAACCTGCAGATCTGCAAAAATGCTATTCATTTTGACTTTATTAAGTTTGTTCTCACAACAGCCCTGAAGTGGGTCTAACCAGAGAACCAGGGCTGGAGTTCTGGAGAAGTCACAGTTCCTCAGAGGAGTTAACTTACTCCACTAATTAACTTACTCCACTAAGAAAGCTTGAGTGACTTTTGCAACTCTCAAGGTGTCCCCATAAAATGCCCCTCCTGCCCTAACAGTTCAGAGTCTGGCTGTTGCTGCAGGGTGCAGATGAAGGGCAGTCTGGCTTCCTCTCCCCTGGCTTCTGCTCACAAGTGTTTTCTCACCAGAATGCCTCATGTGGCCTAAGAAGCGCCAGCATGCAAATCACAAACCTCCATTCTTTTGGAGGCTGATAAAGCCCGTGTGCTCACAAATCCTGCTGGGGAAGCAGATTCATGGAAAATGGCCAGCATACACAGTAGACAAATGTCAGGAATAAGGGGGGAAATAAGAGCCGTTAAGATAAGACCACGGTTTCAAAATGTGTTCCTAGTAGGTTTGGGATACCTGAGTGCCCACTCATCAGATTAGCCCAAGGACAGGCAGAAATGGGAGCATCTGACTAGATATTCAACTGAGACTTAAGAGAGCTGGGAAGCCTAACACCAGTTGTTTCTAAAGCCCTTGGAGCTTCAAGGTCATGTATGTTAAATTCAAGTCATACAGACAATTGCCAAAAATTGAAGAGGATGAACTCTGTTGCAAGGACCTTGTTGATGACCCATGGATCATGCAGTGCAGTCAGACCCCAGTCAGCCCTTCCTGCCACCAAATACAGTGTCCAATCAAGACACACTTCATGACATGGACTGGCAGAATCACCACCGCTATCCTGAGGCTTCAAGGGATCTGAGGGGCACCCCCTCCAGGCTCCCTGGAGAGTTGCTCTGCTTAGGAAAGTCCCTGCTCTAGAGCCTGGGTAACCGCTAAAAAAGATGACAGAAATGAGGATTTGACCAGAGTTAAATACACATTTTAATTTTGTCACATTCTCCAAACTTTGCCTTAAAGCTACCACAGTCAAATTGACAAAATTTGACAGAAAAATAGAAATCCATCTACATTTGGAAATGCCATGGTGACTGAGCAGCACTGTGATCCTCTGGGGCCAGATTGCTCTGCACCTGTCCGTCATGCTGCAAGGACAGAAGGCACACTTCTGCACCTGGGCACTAGAACAGGGGATGTCCAAGCTGGTCTTGGCAGTAGCTGTGTTCAGTGTCTGTCCCAAGTTAGGCATGTGGTCTGGGCCACCTTCTCTTCCTACTTCTCCCTTTGCTTTCCAGTCATCTGCAGATCTCATGGCTCAACCGTGGTTCCCAGGAACAGCAACGATGGCAACACTGAATGGGTTTTAGGTTTGCTGTATATTCATTCATTCACTCCCAATCCAAGGAACCTCTACATCCTGTTGTCCAGATGAGGAAAGTGAGGTTTAGCAAGGCTGGCCAGGAAAGGACAAAGAGGACCCGGCTCTAGGCCTGATTCTGCAGTCCTTTTCAGACGAGAGCCCTGGGTTCACCCCTGCACAACAGCACAGAACCGGCTGAGAACCAGCTCCTCTGGCACACAAGCTGGCTCCCTGGGCTTATCTTGAAGGCTCAAATGGAGTCACCCTGCACCAATATCTTCTCCCTCCTGTGGCACTCGCCCCAGTCTTCACTGTCACCTGCAGGATGAGTACCGACAATACTGGCTAAAGGAGTACCTTAAAGCATCTTATCAGACGCACCAGGTTTATAAAGGACTTGTGGGCAAAACCTACTCCATATCAAAAAGAGGTGACACGTGGCTCCCCTCCAGCCCAGTGAGCCACACCTCAGATTGATCTCGCTTCGGCAGCAGTTCAGCTGAGAGGGCACCGGAGCAGTGGTCAGCTCAGCCGCGTGCTCTGTCTTCAATGGCTATTTCCCTGCACTTCCACTCCTGGCCACAGGCCACACCCGAGTGGGAGTCCATGGCCATCTGTCCTTGGCCAAAGGCAGCCTGGTCAGAGTGTATATGGCCTACACTGCTACAGACCAGCCTCCTCTGAGGAGAAAACTTTTGGCTAAATAAGGATCACCAGACAAAAGACCACTGTCACAACCATCCACGGATCAAATACTGCCATTGTCAAGCACATTGTTACAACACAGACATTCAAAAGCACAAAAGCCCTGGTGGGAAATGAATAGAAATGATGTGGTTGAAATGAATCCTTTCTAGTCTGATCACAGGAGAAATTACTTCTGACTTGTCACTGTACTACATTAAAAGAATTTTTTCTACAAGAAGTACTTTTCAAAGTACAATGACTTCTCCCACAGACTTAGAATTTTGGGCAAGAATATATTTTATTTTTTCATAAAAGTTCTAACAAAAATATATTTTTTCCTTAACTTAAAAATACAGCTTCATAAAACAAGATTTGAGTTGTTCTAATTCCCTACACACTTTACAAACAGCAGTAAAAGGAAGAAGTCAACAGAATGGGCTCAGTTTCTAAGTATGAAATGCTCATTTCAGAAGCTTGACTTTGTCCTTTATTAACTTGAAGGTGGGGTTCTTGCTGACTTTCTTGTTGAAGATGACCAAGAGCTCCTCCTCACATCTGTGACGGTCGTTTGTCACCGTGTAATATTGAGCTAAAACCTGAGCAAAGAAAAGCGGACGTCAAGGGAGTGCATCTGTCCTGGAAACTTACCTTACAGTTCTTTCAGCATACTGCATGCACAGGTGTGCTCTACCTGTGAACACCGGCAGCTGTCCGTGTTTGTCACACAGACACAGTGCAAAAAAAAACAAAGAAACGACTGCTTAGGAACAAGTAAAAAGGAAAAAAATAGCCAAAACAACTATTTTCAAACATAACATAAATAAACGGAGCCTCTCTTCAAACAGTCGGACAGCAAGTCCAAGATCTAGGAGCTGCCTTGGCTGAGTCTGTGTGGTGGGTTTGGCTCAATTCCTGCCCCAGACAGGGACAAAGGGAGCAGCTTAAAAACTGCGACACACACTTTCTCTCACTCTCTTTGTATTCTAGGTAAAAACCCATCAGTGTATATTTAAAATAAATTCTCCTAGCCGTTCCTGGGATGTGTTTAGACCCTGTACCTTTTTCCTTAGCTTCTTGATCGACAGCTCACCATCCGGGGCCTGTCTCAGGACTGCTTTAATAGTTCCCTTCCAGTTGAATTTACCTACAACACAAAGAATATGTAAGAGATTTTATTTTGTTGTAACACAAACACACACAAAAAAGAAAGAAACAATTTCTGCGCATCTGTTTGCTTCTGGGGAAATGACCTGCCCTTCCCATGCACAGAATGCCAGAGTACCAGGTGACAACCCCTGTATCAGCCCAAGCAGGAAGCACCGATAATCCTTCCAAGGACTCGTTCTGCAGTGAGAGGGCAGCCAGAGCACCAGCACCAGGACGAAGCCCTGTGAAAGGTGACTTCTGGTTTTCTCTCCYTTTTTTTTGGTGACACTGGGGATCCAACTCAGGGCCTTGCAAATGCCTACCACTGAGCAACACCCCTACCATTTCTTATTTTATCTTGAGTCAGGGTCTCGCCAAGTTGCCCAGGCAGTCCTCCAATTTGTGATCCTTCTCCCTCAGCCTCCTAAGCAGCTGGAATTACAGAAAGGTAACTTGTATCTCATGGAAAACAGAGATTCACCCAGCAGCCACCAAGATCAGGAGGCTGACTAAGCACAGCCAAGAACACACAAGGAGAGCCCAAGCAGCTTCAGAGAGGGAGCAATGGCAAGAAAGGGCTCGGCCAGGGCGCTCGCTTTGGTGGCAGTGTGCTTTCCCCAGTCCTGCAAAGCACAAGCAAGAGCAGACGCTGCAGCAGCAAGCCCAGGCGACCCTCGGAGGTGGGAAGAAGACAGGCTGCCACTTCTGGCCTTCATGTTCTGAATCTGCTGAAGCCAGCATACTGGAAGGCCGATGGTGAGGCCAGGACGAGCCCAGAGAAGCCTGCTGTCTTGGCAGGAGCAGGAAGGAGCAGCCAGTGAGGCACAGACCGACACAAGAACAACTTCCTCAGGCAAATGCCACAGATGGCTGTGCTCACCACACCCCGCCAGCCACAGCCCTGGAGCCAGAGGCCAGGATGGAACAGAACTCTCACCCAGCAGTGGGCCACTCCAAGCTACCCGAGCTGCATCAGTCCTGCCTGGCACATCCTCCTCCATCAGCAATCAGGAGAGAAAGCCATTTACAACAGGAAGTTTAATAAAAGCCCATGTCATATGTAAAAACTGCTCAAAACAGACCATGGACTTAAATATATATAAAATGTGAGACTATAAACCATTTACAGCACAAACTTGCAGCTTGGTGAGAGTGTCTCAAGGGCTCTCACTACACACACCAGCACTTGCACCCACAAACACACAGGGTGAGGGAGAGCTGACGAGCTCAATCTGCACACACGTGAGCAGACACTGAGTCGCACACCTTCCATACATAAAAATTCTGTGTGTTAAAAAGGTTTGACCAGGGCTAGAGGTGTGGCTCATTGGTAGAGCACTTGCCTAGCATGTGTGAGGCCCTGGGTTCGACATATAAACAAATGAATAAAATAAAGATAATAAAATTTAAAAATGTTAAAAAAAAAAAAGGTTTGACCAATAAGAAAAGCCTAGAAAACAAACAAACAAAAAAAACATTTGGAATCTAGTGACTTAGTACAACCCAGAAAAGGAAAAACTGATAAATTGGACTCATCAAAACAAACATCTGCTCCATGAATGACTCCCTTAGAAGGATGCGAGGAAACGCTCTAGACTGAGAAGGTGCCCCAGACCCATGTCCCACTGAAGGACTGATGTTCAGAATATACAAAGAACTCTAAATAAAATCTCAACCGTAAAAAAAACAAAAACCCCAATCAAAAATGGGCCAGGGCTGGGGATATAGCTCAGTTAGAGTGCTTGCCCTTGCATGCATGAGAACCTGGGTTCAATCCCCAGCACTGGGGTGGGGGGTGGGGGGAAGAAAATGGACCAAATGCCCAAATCAAGTACTTCAATGAAGAGACAGATACAGAGGGCAGACAAGCACACACAGGCATCCAGCATCACTAGCCAGAGAAGGGGCAACTGAAACCACGGCACGCTGCCCTGCTCACCCACCACAACGTCAGCAGATGCAGGCCAGCCTGAGACCGCTGGTGAGGTGCACAGCTGTGCTTCCCAAGTCCCCACAGGTTTTTGTTTATTTGATCTGGAGGGTTTTTTTGCAGGGCTGGGGACTGACCCCAGGGCCTCGGGCATTCTAGGTAAGCACTCTACTACTAATAGACAGCCCTAGGCCTGGCAGTGTTCTTAAAAAAGTAATCATGCCACCACAAGAGGACCCACACAGCCCTGCACCAATGGCCATTTACACAGGGCATCTGACTTTTGCTCATGCAAAACCTGCACATGAACGTCCCAAGCAGCTGTATGTACAATAACCAGATGCTGGAAACAGCCAGATAGCCTTGGAGGTGAATGGGAAAGAAACACAGCGCATCCCTTCCATGGGGTGTGACTAAGCAGAGAAAGCGATGGACTGCTAACTCTGTAGAGACSAGATGGGTCACTGAGAAGAATGCTGGTGGAAGAAGCCAGTCGCGGAGTCACTCGCACACCGTCCAGAAATCACAGAAATGGAGAACAGACCAGTGGCTGCCAGAGGTGAGGCGGGGAGTGGACGTGGCAGGGGCATCCTGTGGGGCAGCAATGCTCTCCACCGTGCCTGCATCAATGCCCACGTCCAGGCTGACATGCACTACAGGCTCTCAGGTGCTGCCCGTGGGGAAATGCAATGAAGCATGTGTGAGGCCCTGGGTTCGAGTCTCAGCACCACATATAAACAAACGAATAAAATAAAATAACGGCTTTGTGAGCATGCTTAAGTCAAGTACTTCCTACACATGATTCAATGTGTACCTACAATTGCTTTAAAATACACTCTTCTTCCTCTGGCCTCAGGCACCCTAGGCGAGCACTATACCCTAGTCCAACAATTTAAATGCTAAAATGCCCACACAGTTAGGAGTGGGGGCTCAAGCTAAGAGATCTAATCCACCTTGGCAGTAAGTGATCCCCACAAATAAAGCTGCAATGCCCATCTGATTCCTTGGGTCCACTCTTGACTGACAGAATCGGGTGGACAAACCACACATACTTCCCAGCAGGAGGGAAAGCCTCAGGCCTGAGGAAGCAGGAGCTTCCCACGTATGAGGCTGCATGTAAGGCGAGCCTTGAAGGCGAGGGACTGCATTTTAACAATACATATGGTGGCTAAGGGAGTGGGTAGCCATGGAGCTCCAGGTAAGGAGGCCCCAGGAACAGACTCAAAGCTAGAAAGGGGCACAGTCAAGTCTTCCTGGACCAAGGGTATTTCTAGATAACAGGAACAGGCCAGCACCTACAGTACAAGATGCAGGCAGGAGATAACAGCGTCTGGGAAAGTCATCTGGGTTCATCTTAAATTCAAAAGCAAAACACTGCTATCATGTGGATCTGAAATCTGGAATGTCCCCTACAGGCCCTTGTTAAAGGCCAGGTCCCAGTGTGGAGCTACTGGGAGGCAGGAACCTCCCAGTAGCTAATGTGAGGTCTTCCTGAGCCCTGGGAACATGCCCTTAAAGGACAGAGTGGGACCCCAGTCTCATCCTCTTCCTTTTACTTCCTGGCCATGAAGTGAGCCACTCTGCTCCACCACAGGCCCCAAATACTAGGCCAACCTGCCATGGACCAAGACCTCTGACCTGGGAGCCAAAGCAAACCTTCTCTTCACAGTTTGACTATTTCAGATATTTGTTACAGTAATGGAAAACTAACATACACATTTCCAATCCAGACTATCCTCCCTTTTTCCTCAAAGACAAAGGGACAGAAGCACCATAATACAGACTCACTATAATACAAACCCCAGAGCGCTCATTTTGCTTTAAATCCTTAGACATGCCTCTGGAGGGCATGACTTACCAGAAGTACCTGATCCACCCCAGGAAAGGGGCATTTCTGCTGGCTCCTTCCCCAAACTAAGTAGGCGATGCTTTTCAAATGGCGCAGAGGTACCTTTCGTAGGAGCTTCATCGTCCTCTGCTTCTCCAGCCTCAGGTTGTCCTGGGAACTTCATCTTTTTCATCTTAGAATCTGCTTCAGCTAAGTTTAGAAAAAAAAATTGTAAAAAAGGTTTGCATTTGATAGCTGCTACTCCTCAGGAGGGCCCTACCACGCTAGACCCACGAGACCGTCCCCCTCCTTATCTCCAGGCAGCCCAGGACCATGGCTGGTACCATCCTGCATGTTGCAGAGGAGGAATGGGATGGGAGGCACAGGTCAGCTGGACCCAAGGCTTATGTTATTCCCTCCCTGGTTCAAAGTGGCAGCCTGGCCACCCAATGACACCCCAGAGCCCGGCCGTGTACCTATTGAGTGCTTCCGCTTCCTTCTTCCCACAGTGGCCTTCATCTCCACCTTGCTGGGGTCCTCCTCGGGGCCCCTGACCCTGTTGACGTCCTCCTCTCCTGCCTGCTTGCCCTGGCCCTTCTTCTTCTTGCCCTTCTTCCCTATGGAGCCATTGGCCGTGGACCCCCTCTCCCCTGCAGCCTCAAGGTCAGCCTCCTGTCCTTTTTTGCGCTTCTTGGGCTTTTGGCTCCTTGAATTGTCCTGATGGTTTTCTAATTTCAGTTCTTTCTTTTCTCTTTTTCTGTTCTTCTGCCGTTCTTCCTTCCTTTCTCTTTTATTCTTCTTTGCCTCTGCTGGCTTTTCTATGGAGTCATTATCCTTGGAGGATGCTGGAGTCTTGGTGGAGGCTTCTGAACATGACTTTACCACTTGGTTAAGAGGCTGCTGATCTTGCCCCTTACTAAATGGCTCCTGATTGTTGAGCAAAACCAAGAAACATATCAATATTTGATCTGGGAGAACCAAACATTCACATCATTACCTGTATCTCAAAATGAACTGTTCAAGGAAAATGCTTTTATCACTCACCATTTTACAATTGTGAACCCCCAACTGTGAAAATATGGCAATAAAAATACCAAGTGGGGGAGAACTCCCCCAGCCCACACCTCTGCACTGAAGAGATACTTTCATTCCACTTGAGAGTGAAAGAATGAAGAGCTTTATATCACCTAAGCCAGACCTTGAACTCTGCTCACTAATCATCTTTCATTTAGGTGGGAAGAGAGCACTCAGGTGTGGTCGGAATCAAAGATCTATGTTTGTAGGCCTGGTTCAAGTTCCAAATCTGCTCATTACTAATCAGGTGACTAGTCAAGGCAAGTTTTTTCTCTTCTCCAAATCTATTTCTTAATCTGAAAGTAAAAGGTTGTCACACTCACCTTTTCCCACTGGGGTGTGAATAAAATGAGAAGAGACACTGTGTGCGTCTCATCATGGATGCCTGACCAACCGGCCCAATGAACGTGGAGAGTTCTGAAAGCCATCAAGGGCTAGCCAAGGAAGTGCTACCACCATCACTACCCAGATGAGATGGCTGCCCTTGGAGGATGGCAAGGGACCCTGCACAGAACGTGAGGAACAGAGCAGGGGACCTGCCAGGCTCTAGACATGCTTCAGCGTCCTTCAAAGGCTGACATGCTGCATGCTAGTGGGCTGCAGTGTGGCAGCCTTGCAGTGGGAGAACCTTTAAGAGGTAGGGCGCGGCAGAAGGTGATTAGGTCACTGGGGACGCTGCCCTGAGAAGGAACTGATGTTGGTCTCTCCAGGCGAGTTAGTTCTCTCAAGAGAAGGTAGTTATAAATGGAGCAAGCCTAATCCTGTGAATTCCTCTGGTTTCCAGTCTTACCATGTGATCCCTTCCAAAAACACTCCTACCATGATGCCACCTGCCATGCTGTGATACAGCCAGAGGAGTCCTCACCAAAGGCTTACCACATGTTGGATGCCTGATCTTGGACATTCAGACTCCAAAACTATGAGCTAAATAAGCCTCTTTTCTTTTTAAAGCACCCAGACTCAGGCATTGTTATAGCAACAGAAAATGGATAATATAGGGCTGGGGATATAGCTTAGATGGTACAGTGCTTGCCTTCTATGCACAAGGCCCTGGGTTCAATCCCTAGCACCCACACACACACACACAAAAAAAAGAAAGAAAGAAAGAAAGAAAATGGACCAATATAGAACCAAAGAAAACTAACTATGAATACTAGAACAAGACAGATCTTCTGTCTCTTAGTTACCCAATTAAGAAGATCAGCACATAGATCCTACATATAACATGACATTAGCACAGCTCAGCCCCATTCCTTGGTGCACTCTAAGTCCCTCTCTTTTGGGAGATAAGCCAGGGCAATGAAACAGATGGCTTTGGGAGCCCTATCATCTGCAGAGGAAGGCAGGGGCCAACACTCAGCTGCAGGGATACATGTACATCCCAACCTGTTCCTCACCAGCCAGATAATGTGGGGCAGGTTACCTATCGTCCTCCTCCTGTGGGCGGCTCTCACCAGGACACAAGCACTCAGACCTATCACACCACACCTGAAGGAGCAGCACTAGGAACTCAGTCACAGTTCACAGACATAAAGCTGCCAAGGATCATGGGAAAAGAGGTCAAGGATGAATCTGGAAATAGACTCAAGAGGAAACTTCATATCTCTCCGGCAATTCTGCTCAGATTTTCTGGTAAGGTATTATTATAATGTGTTAATCAGCTTCCCATGATTATAATAAAAATCCCTGAGGCAGGGATTTTTATTAACTTTTTTTTATTAACTTTTTTGTGTTCATTTTGGCTCATGGTTCCAAAGGTTTGGTCCAAGATGGAATTGCCCCATTGCTCAGAGCCTCAGGCAAGGGTGACACTTCATGGAAGGAGTACATGGGGAAGCAAGGTGCTCACCCTGTGAGCGAGGAAACCGAGAGGACAAGGGGTCGGGGCCACATTCCCTCTGAAGGGCATGCCTCCAATGCCCTGAGGACCTCCCACCTGGCCCTACTCCCTAAGGGTTCCACCATATCCCAGCTGTGCCACCCTGGGCACCAAGCCACATGGGCCCATGGGGGGCGTCCAATGCCCAAATGATAGTACAGAAGCACTGAGTGCCAAAGCCTTTAGCCTCCCTTCTCCCCAATGTATGCCAAGTCTCCATCTGGTACCTCGCCCCACACCCACACCAGCTCCACCATGCAAGATAGGCAAGGTGGGCAGACCAATTCTTTCCCACTTTCTTTCTTCTTCATTCCTGCTGTCCCAAGGGTGCCCTGCCTGGCTCTTCTGTAATGGAAGAGTCCTGCCTTACCTGCCTTTTCTCTGTCTCTTCCCACACTCATCTGGACCTGGCACTAAGAGAAGCCTCCAATCCTCTAGAATGTAGCCCTTGAGGGCAGGACCTAATTACAGCTGCATGTGCAGGGGCCACGGCCAACCACCATGGGGGAGAAGCTAGATAGACGAGAAGGACAGAGTTCCAGGAGGACAGGCGTTTGACTCATGGACAAATGAAGCCCTAGGACCTTTGGCTGTGTCCCACCAACACAGGGTGTGCAGAAGGATCACTGGGCAAAGGCACAGGCAGCCCCACCAGCCAGCGCTGACAGAACTGAGATTACCAGGGGCTGTCCACTGATTGGCCATAATTTGTCACCAAAACTATTTTCTCTGCACAAAGCAAACAACGCCTAAAAATCTGACTAGAATAAGACCAGTTAGAGCCCTGCTGTTTTTTGAAAACTTTTGATATGAGTTTCCAAGAAGCACATAAGTTCCAAACAGGAACAATATATAATGAAATTAGTGGGAAACAATTGTGAATTAACAAAGTGACCAACAGAGTGGTTAAAATATATCCAACTAAGACCTTCTACACATGCATTCCTCATTTAGGACTCTCAAATAGTTTTCACTAGCAGGTGGTTGATTATGAATATTCAAATAGGATTTGCTCCCCGCCAGAAGGAAGGAGACGGACGGTCACTAAATGCTGGGTACCCTCTTCTGCTCTAACACTCCCACAGAGGCTTCACACCTCACCCTTTGTCTGAAGGTCCACCTGGCCACTATGTCCTGCCCCGTTTTCTTTCTCTTCATAGCACCATACCCTCCTGATATGCTTTCTATTTTTTGTTGAGGACCTAGCACAGATTAGGACCCGGTAAATAGGAATAAATGAATGAGTATTACTATCCACATTTTTTAGATTAGGAAACTGAGGCTTAGAGGTTAACTAATGGGCCAATGATAATACACCTGGCAAACTGCATAGCAGGGCTTTGAACCTGGGCTGTCAGAAATCCAAACTCCTGTTCTTTTCAACACATCCACTGCCTGATAGCTACACCAGTCATTACATGTCCGCTGGGACCCTTATCAAATGTTGGGACTAAATACCTTTCTCTGTAAATAAGGAAATCTTCCCTGCAGTGCATTCAGTTTACTCTTTCCCATAAATGAAGACACAGAGGGTCTCTGAAAAAGCAGGCTACCTTGACCTCCAAATATAGACATTCCCATTTCATTATTACTAATTATTCTTGCAACAATCTAAAATTAGCTCTAACTTACATTGCTGGAAGCTTCAGAAAAGATATTCCACACTTGCTCCAGAATGGATTCATTATGAACTTTTAAACTATTCTTCATCCAATTCTGTAAGGAACAAAAAAGAAAAAAAAAAAAGAACCACTTATCCTACTGTGACAAGATACACACAGGTCCAGCCCTCCACCCATTCAGAAAAACCAATCAAATCCATACCTGAAATTTGGCCTTTTTCCTGGGAACGTTGTCAAAAGCACTAATTTGCTTTAACAGTTCTCTCACTTTGGGGCTGACATTGGGTTTCCTTATTAATTCATTAATTTTCTATAAAAAAAGAAAACAATAAATAACCAACCCATGAGTTTCATGAAAGCCAATCGAAAAGTCCTTGCCCTGACCAAAGAATTCACATCTGAAGTACGGATTCTGTATTATTGCTTACGCTTCAAAATATATTAACTTCTATTTGACATAGAAATGGAGTCCTAGAGCAGTTGACAAGAAAAAGAGATAAAAGTCTTCCTAACTGGAAAGGACAAAACAAAATTATCCCTGTTCATAGATGACCTGTACAGAGAAATGATTTTATTATAAAACTCTAAACCTTCAACACAAATAACTGTTAGGACTAATAAATCAATTCAGCAAAGCTGCAAGATACAAAATCTACTCTCAAAAATCTGGTTGCACTGGGAACAGTGGCACACACCTGTAATCTCAGCAGCTCCAAAGGCAGAGGTAGGAGGACTGCAAGTTCAAAGCTAGCCTCAACAATTTAGCAAGGCCCTAAGCAATTCAGCAAGACCCTGTCTCTAAATAAAATATAAAAAAGGGCTGGGGATGTGACTCAGTGGTTGAATACCCCTGGATTCAACCCCTGGTAACAAAATATACCAACAATGACCAATTCAAAAAGGAAATTAAGAATATAGTTCCCTTTATAATAACATAAAAAAGAATAGTAAGGAAAAAAACAAAAATCAAACAGGTAAAAGACTTGTATTCTGAAAACTATAAAACATACTAAGAGAAATTAAAGACACTGATAAATAGAAAGAGATGCCATGCTCATGGATTAGAAGACCTAAGATTATAAATGTCAATACTCCCCAGAGCAACCTAGAGATCCAGCACAATTCCTACTGAAACCTAGTTGAGATAGATAAATATAAATGATTTTTTTTTTGGAGGAAATCCATCCTAAAATTCACAGGGAATCATTGGGGGACACCAAATAGGTAAAACAATTTTGAAACAATAAAAAAGTTTTGATCTCAAAACTTATTACAAGCCAGGTATGGTGGCACATGCCTGTAATCCTCATGGCTAGGGAGGCTGAGACAGGAGGATTTTGAGTTCAAAGCCAGCCTTAGCAACAGTGAAGCACTAAGCAATTCAGTGAGACCCTGTCTCTAAATAAAATACAAAAAAGGGCTCAGTGGTCAAGGGCCCCTGCGTTCAATCACCGTACCAAAAAAAAAAAAAAAAAAAAAAGAAAGAAAACAAAGCTATAAAACAATGTGGCACTGCATAGACAGACATAAAGACAGAAGCACAGAATTCAGAGCCCAAAAATAAACCTTTGCATATGTGGTCAGATGATTTTCAACAAAGGCATCAAGACCAGTCAGTGAAGAATTAAAAGTCTCTTCAACAAATGGCACTGGGAAAAGTGGATATTCACACGGAGAAGAATGCAGCCAGAGGAGTGCTGTTTGAGAACACTGGAGGTGACCACGTAAACAGCAGTGACCCAGCAAGAGGAAGGTGGAGACGGCAGCAGCTGGAAATTTAAAACTGTCTGGAGTCCACACTGATTCCAAGCAGGGGTTCTGTCAGCCTCTACTCCTGCTGTTCCAGTTCCAACCTCAAATGCTTCAGATCATCATCTTCAGGATGCCCGATGCATGAAGGGAAAAGGAAAGGCTGTCCACTGAGTGCAGAACCCTCTGTGAGGGTTCCAACCTGTGAGAGCAAAGCCTACTCTGTGCCTGCCCACCAAGACAGTGCATAAGATTATGTGCAGGGCCCCTTATAGGTGCTCTGCTAAGAATCAGGAGAACCCCAATCATTCAAATCTGATGCCATCACCCAACCAAACACAGGCCCCACATCAGCCCTTCATGTTGTCTACCATCAGAGAGGAATCAGCCATTCCACGAGCAGATTTAGAGAAAGAGCGGGTTATCCTTCCAAACAGACGTTCTGGAATGCCATGTTAAGGAAAGGGTAGAGTGAAAGGGTGAGGATACTGAAGGATATGTATAAATTACAATTCAGTCAGAACAGTGCACAGGGGAAGCCCACATGCTGCGCAGGATCCATCCTTGATCTGATTTGCTAAGGGCAAGAACTCGTTCCTGGATGGAGTTGCCTTTCAATAGGCACGATTGGATCATCAACCACTGTGGCACAGAAGTTGGATATGTAGCATATTACTACCCTGGAGGCGAAGTCAACAAGGACTCCCAGTCCACCACCACCTGGCATGTGGCATGTCCGCCCCACCTTGGATTTGTTTTCTGCTGTATGAGACAGAACAAAGGCTGCTTGGTGGCACCAGACATCGCAACCACTGTTGTTTGTGATGCAAAGTGTAAATTAATTTTTTCTAAGAGATACTTTAAACTATTTTCCCCAAACTGAACTGCATGCATGAAGTATCAAGAGGATAATCACGCTTTATCCTGCACTTAGCCAAGGACCCCGCTCTGTTTGGTTTGAGCAGCGTTTTGCCTTGCAGTTTAAAGCAGATTTTTAAAAAGTTTTCTTCGTGTTTAGTTTAAGTGACAAGCAGTCTCCCCAGTGTGCCCATTAGCTGCACCATTGTCTGTTATCTTTCATCTCGAAAAGTCTCAACAACCTCCAAAAGAGTTTTTAGAAAGTGAGAAAAGCTGCTTTTTCTCCTTAGTTTTCTCAGGAATATTTGAGAGGTAAAACCTGAAAGTCACCATGATGCTCATGAGCTTTTACCTGCTCAAATATTTTAACTAAAATCATTCATTATAAAAAAGCAGAATCTTTTTAAAAGAGACTATTATTTCTGAAATTCCCACAATTTAGTAGTAACCCTGAACAAAATGCAAAGCCACACCTTGCAATGGGCAAGACTAAGGTGTATCTTGGCTCTCATTTATATGCACTTTTCAGACTGGACCTTGTTAAAGAAGTTACAACTCACCCACCATGAGGTGCTGATGCATATGCTTTGAAACATAATTTTTTAAACATTTTCCTGTTGTTCTGATATGTAACTCTGCTCCCTCAAAACACATCTCCTCATTGTCTCTGGCATTTCAAGTTATCCCAAGTTTGAATCCTATTCCTTCCTCCATTGAAGCCTCGTCCCAGGTTGGCCTCATCTAATTTAAAAGCCTGGTTCAAGTCACAGTGCCAGGGATTATATTTAGCGGAGTATTAATATTCACAAGTATTTTTCTCAGATGCAGTATGTCTGCAACAATTCACTGTCTCAATTTTTATGTTTTAAGGAAGTTCTAAGTKTGCTGTTGAAATTCCTTGAACTCAAAAATTGGTTGTTCTAATTATAGCAGCACGTCACAAATGACTGCTTTTTGAAGTGTTGATAATCTTAAATCTTTTAAATTATCCTGAAAAAAAAATGAAATTGGACTCTTACCAAAAAACTCCTACTTAATTAAAAAACGAGCAATTAACTTAAATAGACATTTCTCCTAAGATGTACAAATAGTCAATTAATACATGAAAAGATGCTAAAATCATAAGCGAAATACAAACCAAAACCACAGAAAGATAACATTTCACACCCATTACGATGGTTATTATGAAAACTAAAAACAGAAAATTACGAGTATTAAAGAGAAATTGCAACCCTTGTACATTATTGGTGGGAATGTGAAATGATGCAATTGCTACAGAAATCAGTACACAGCTGCCTCAAAAAAAAAAAAAAAAAAAAGAAAAAGAAAAAGAGAATTACCCTATGATCCAGTAACTCTACCTCTAGGTACATGCCTAGAAGAAATGAAAGCAAGGATGTGACAAGAATCAAGTGTCCACTGACAGGTGAATGGATAAACAGTGGAATGTTCTTCAGCCTTAAAGAGAAAAGAAACTCTGACAGATGCTACGACATGAGCATACCCCGACATCATGTTCAGTGAATTGAGCCATCACAAAAGGACAGAGGATGCATGCTCCCACTCATGCGAGGTCCTTATGCAAGCATAAAGTAGAGGCAGTAGAGACATGCAACCATAAAGTAGAGGCAGAAAGTAGAACAGAAGGGCTGGGGGCATAGTCAGTGGAAGAGCACTTGCCTAGCTCATGTGAGCACTGGGTTCAATCCCCGGCACCACCAAAACATAAAAATTAAAAAAATATAAGAAACCAAAATGATGTGGGGATGGAGAGATGAGTTTTTAATGGGACAGTGTTTCAACTGGGGAAGATGAAAGTTCTGGAGATGGGCAGCAGCGATGGCTGAAGAGTGACGTGAATGTACCTGAGTTTAAGTAAACTATAAAATGGTAAGTATCTTATCATGGGGGTTGCGAGTGTAGCTTTGTGGCACAGCACTTGCCTAGCATGTGTGAGGCATTGGGTTCGATCCTCAGCACTGCATACAAACAAATAAATTTAAGCTATTAAAATATATACATTACCATGGCAAAAAAAAAAAAAAAAACCTGAAAAATATATCCCTACATCAATGGAATCAAGAATCACAGAAAAACATATAGTAGAGGGTATAAAATGAGAACAATACAGTAGTATTAAGATCTAATAAATAAAACCAAAATAGCAAGAGCACACAAAACACTTCAGCAATCCCAGTAAAGTCAGAGGCAATAATTACTTAGGTTAGAGATCTGTCAGCAGACAAGAGGGACAGTCACCAGTGAGTCAACCTAAGATGGACAATGAAGCTCTGCAAATATGACATAGGAAAGTGTCCCTGCATAAGAAAGAAGAGAATCTACATATAAGCAGACCAGAAACATGGAGACAGGGTCCTAAGACAACGGTTAGCCAAAGCTGTGTGCGGCATCCAGGCTGCACCAACTAAGAAGGCAAGACAAGCATGAACGAGGAAAAACCAGGCAGAAGAGCACAGGGCACGGGTGACGAGGTCCGAAGGCAACACCAGGGCCCACAGAGTGAGATGCTTCTCCAGCGTCCAGGTTTGCACAAGCCCAGAGGCATGTGGACGCTGCCCAGCCAACTGCATAGGTCTGGTCCACTCTGGCTGACTGGTGTTCGGAGCGTGTGTTGTTTCCTTCTGTGTAATCTTTCTGTTAGTACTTGACTATTTTTTCCTAAAAATTAAATAGCTACTTATTTTTTTATTAAAACAATAAAGTTATCAAAATTAACAGAAAGAGAGAGAAGCAGAGCAGACTGTTGAAGTTGAAATGGGCAATGTCTGAGAGGGCCAGCTGCCGACAGGGATGGGACCAATGCAAGTGGCATTCCTGGGAACTCTGAACCCACAGGAAGGCTGAACAAAACAGGAACAGCTGGAGGATGAAATGGTCAAGGCTAATTGTGAAAGAAGAAAAGTTCCCCAGCACTAACAACTAAAGCCTGTGAAGAACAGGGTCCCTCCTGACTGGATTACTTAAGTGTGTGCGTGTGTGTACATATATATATATGTATATATATATATATATATTTTTTTTTTTTTAAATGAGGGAAATAAAGGGAAAGAACAAAACCCTCAAACCCATGTCTACAAGAACGACCCCACTGTGTTCTCCTGGCTTAACCCACGTCCTCTGATCCACCTGCTAAGGGCACCCAGGGCGTTGGAGCCATGGGATGGGAGTGGACCAGCAGCCCAAATGGAACCAGAGTGAAGTTCTTGATCTACACCAAGAAGGCCACTAAGCACAGAGCAAGGGTCAGCAAACCTCTTCTGTCAACACAAAATCAACACCCTAGGCTTCACAGGTTCTGTCCCAAGTACCAGCCACGCAGCTCACCCCACCCTGCCTTTGAGGATTTCTTTCAAGTGTAATGACAGCAGAGGTAGAACTATACATGCCCCAGCACCCAGAAATGTCACCTGAGTCTCAGGATAACAGAGAGAGTGACCCAAGGTGCCAGTAGTCACCAGCCTCGACTTCACAGTTAAGATACAGGTTCACCAGCTCTTCACCCTGCACTGGGCAGAAATGGCAAGTCCTTTGTGAACAGAACTGTCCCCTTAGGAGTATGCCATTTCAGAGAGCTAGTCAGTGTCAGAAGCTATTAATTTGATTTTCAGGAAAATATGAAATCTTCACATGGATAACATTTGTCTTTAATTCTCTATCTCCTTTTCTAAATCTTCCCTTCTGCAATGTCATGCTTCCCAAATAGGAATTTCATTGACTTTGCCACTTTTTATTGTACACATTTTCATTTTATTTAAATAGAAAATTCCTTATACCTGTGAAAATGTCTATTTTGCTTGATCCTGATAGCAGACATGACAGATTAACAGTGTTTCAGCTGCAAAAGTTGCATTAACACTACAAGAGAAAGACCTGAAAATTTCTACTTGATTTTCTAGTCAAAAGAAAGCTAGTGAGAATTCTCAAATACTTTAGAGAGAAATGTGTAAAACACACATATTAAAGACAAAACACCTCCCAGTTGTGTTAACAGTTAGAAAATAACTCTATTACAAGAAGATAAATTGGCCTTCAGCTGGGCTAAGACATGATGCTGCAGACTGGTCTGCACGGATGAATGCGTGCTCTTAATCTCTCAGGCTTCTGAAGGAAGAGGAGGGGGTCGGACAAGGCCACTGTGGGGACGGGAAGCCGGTACCTGGATCCAGGCCTGCTGCTTGATGTCGCCTTTGTGGGCTTTGCCTTCGTAGCCCTTGCCACCATATTTCTGATCTTCACTTATGCACTTCACGTGGTTTTTATAGTCATCACCCCTTCAAAGAGAGCAGAAGTCCCACTATTAGACTGCCACGCAGGTTGGGGGCCCTGATGACAGCTGCTCCCACTGTCTGTACAATGCACATCTGTCCCCTGCCACCCACCTTAACTCACTTTCTGGCTTAGTTCATCCCTTCTGAGGGACGGGTAGAGCACAGCTTTGTTCTAACAAAACAGCTCTGAAGCCCTCAAGCCTCACTCTGGGCACATGCTTCCCTGGACCTGGTCACTGACAGTGGCCACAGGATGAGCCATCTACTGTCTAAGAAGTGCTCAGGCTGCTCTAGTTCCCCTTCTCTTGGCCTTTTCTTTAAAAATGCACAAGGTTTCCAATTGTAGTCAGTGGGCCCTACGAGTTTTGTTTTTTTCCCCTTAAGTTTCTTTTTTTGTTTTTTCTTTTCTTTTTATGTGGTGCTGAGGATCGAACTCAGGGCCTCACATGTACGAGGCAAGCGCTCAGTCACTAAGCCACAATCCCAGCCCCTTCCCTTAAAGTTTCTTTCCTCAAATTTGTTTCTATTCTTCTAAGCTTTGTGGGGCTAGGGATCCAAATCTGGTCTGAACCTTCGTTGTGGGTCTACATGAACTATGCGGAACTTACCAGAAGTCTCTACCGCAGTCAATGCAAGAAAGGCATTCACAGTTTCTGCAGACAGACACATGCTTTTCCACTTGTATTTTCTTCACTGATTCACCACATGCATTGCATGTAAAAAATACCATTTTACCTAAATGGTTAAATACTCTCTATCCAAGATAGGCTTTAACTCTTGTCCTAAAAAAAAAAAGAAAAATACAAAACAGAAAACAAAAACTAAAACTTCTGTTCAACAAATGATTCACACAAGTAACTTAACTTGATTTGTTTGTTCACAGTACTGGGAATTGAACTCAGGGGCTCTGTACCGCTGAGCTACACTGCCAGCCCTTTTAATTCAAGTCTGGCCTTGAATTTGTGATTCTCCTGCCACAGCCTCCCCAGTACCAGCGTGCGCCACCATGCTGTATGACTACAGTTAACTGTTTTATAGTTGTAGATGGACACAATCCATCCATCCATCCATCCATCTATTATATATCTATTGCTATGTGGTGCTGAGGATGGAACCTAGTGCCTTGTATGTGCTAGGCAAGTTTTCTACCACTGAGCCACAACCCCAGCCCTATAGTTAACTTTTTAACGATAATTTCACATGAAAATAACAGATTCAAAGTTGATCAGCCATCTATGAACAACCCTACCACCCATGTAAGTAAATCATCACTAGTGATAATGGGCTAACATTTATTGAATGTGTGTTTATCATGTATCAGGCTCTATTCTAAGAGCTTATGTATATCTAATTTAGCCATTTGCCAGCCTCTCCAGGGTTCAAAGGCCCAGCTGGTCTCTTGAGCAGGCTTCTTACCCAATGGGCTCCAGTTCACCTTTTACCCTAGGTACAAACCGCAGGCCCACTGACCCTGGGTGTGCTGGGTCCCCTCCACAGCCTGCTATCAGGGTTGCCTGACCAATTTTCCCTCATTGGGGCAGGCACATGGTCGGCCATGCCTGGCCAAATCCCAAGGAATGCAGACGTTACAACCCTAGGGCACCTGGTTACTGTAAAGATGAGTGATAGAGTCACAAGCTAGGGGAGCTGGGATCATGTTGACCATGACCCAGTTCCCTCAAAGCTTATCATGCTGCACAAGGCAGATGGAGTTCAATAAATGTCAGGCAACAAAAACAGCCATTTTGCAACAAGGGCCAACATCACACTATGAGTTTGGAGGGTGCACTTTTGGGTTAAGACCAAGGGATCATGGGTTATCACCAAGAAATGGACTTCCATCATACCCACTTGGTAGAAGCCACTGTGGCGAAACAAATTATCTGCTGGAAAATTTTAAAGCACCTTCACAGGGCAAACATCTCTGCAAACTTAACTATGGCTTAGAGCTTTATAACTTCTGCTGTGAGGATACTGTTTCTTGACTATGACAGAGAGGGTGGGGAGAAAAGCTTCCATGAACCTTAGGATCCAATTCCCCACAGGATGGGTCTATGGTGGAAGGCAGGAATTAAAGACCTGGGCAGGACAGCAGGAAACAAAATATACTGAAGGAAAGATGCTAGTGGTATTGACAAAAAGATGCTCAGAAGATCTGCACCACATGGCATCCCTCTGGAAGCTGTCCACACTGTGTTCACGCCATTCTGAGAATTGGATCGCACGTCCATTTGAAAAATATCTCTCCACACATTTTCACTTGGTCTTTTATTTATCTACATATTTTAAGGAAGAATGAGTGGACTGCATGAAGTCAGAACTCAGGCCCTGCCTGCCTTCCTTGGGGTTTTTATACTTGACATGAACTCAGAACAGTGTGTCCACCTGCTTAACTACTGAGGTAAGATCTGCAAGGAGCTTATTCAGAGCCCTGAGGACACCCCAACAACAGCCCAGGAGTCACCCTGACTATGCCTCACACTGGACCTGGTCCCTAGAGAAAATACCTCACATTTATGAAGTAAACACTTTGCATGGGCTGTGAAGAACAGCAAGCTCAAAACCAGCTCGACTCCCAGCAGACAGGGTCCCAAGTCTTAGTGCAGACTTAACAATTTCAGAAGTTTGATGTTACAAAATTCAAAAAAGACATCATGTGCGCTAACTGAAGACAGCAAACAAAGCCTAAAAAAAATTGTATTATTCAAATTCCACAAGATAAATGTGAATGGAATTTGAATAATTAAAACTTTCAAATGATGTTTTGGTAAGTTTTATGCTTCCCATTTATGCTTTTGAAGTTACAAAAGCTTAAAACTGCATGAAGATGACACACTTAGGGCTCAGATACTTGTTGCAAAGTGTAAGAAGACAGCATTTTTTAGTGTTGCTGGACTTAAATAAAAGTCCCCTTTTGCTTCATTGACTCTTCACTCCCTGTGTGCACTCAATGCTGGGTCCCAACACAGCCACAGAGATTCTATGTGCTCTTCTTTTCAGATATGTGGGCATGTTGAAAAAGAAGACGAACAGAAAGTAGTGCTCTTGGACTGATTGGGAGCACACTCTGGTTCTCGAGCCAAATACAATCTATGACTCAATCCAGTGACATTTGCTGAATGCTAAGTGTGCAGTAAGGGTTATCCTACCAGGTACACCCAGAGACCCTTGCTTCAAGCTGAGCAGGTCCTCTGTGTGTGCTATCTATTCATGTGTCTGGTAAATGTACTGAGCTCTCATATACCACATTCTAGAAAAATACGAGGGCCCGAGGACAGAAAACAGGACCTTGGCTCTCTATAAAGTCACTTCCTACTCATAAAACCAGGTGTATCCATTACCCAGGTCAGCCATGACTGCACAACCACTGTATGCAGAGAAGAGCAAGCTCTGGAAGTTAAGTGATCTGCCCAAAGTCACAGCAAGTGGCTGAGGCAGCCTGCAAGACATTCTGCCACTACCTTGCCTATCACAACCTTGCCATTTGCTTGGCCGTAACTCTCGGAACTTGAAATCCTCATCCAAAATGCGGGAAATAACAATTTTCCATTCATAAATATTAGAACCCAAAAAGCAGTGCAAACTGGGCAAGGAGAACAACCATGTCACGGCAGAGGCTTTCAGGTGTTAATTTGCTGAATTTGGGGGCAGCAGGCAGTGGCCAGGAAAGGGCTGAGAACTTGAGAAAAACCCTGGGCATCTTAGTCTTTTTTGGGAGGTGGTGCTGGGGATTGAACCCGGGGCCTTGCGCATGGGAGGCAACCACTCTACCACTGAGCTACAGCCTAGCCCCTTCTTTTAACAAGGTAGTGGCCACGTTTTATTGGCCTGGGCCTGGGCCTGGGCTTGGGGAAGGACTTGAGCCGAAGTCGGCATCTGCCAAAGATCACAGAAACTCAGACATCAGACCTGTTATTTGTGAAATGGGTCTAATATCCATCTCAAAGCATAGTGTGGAAAGTTAAACAAAATACCAGATGTGGAGGCCTCCTCCTCACCCAACTACAGGAAGGTTTCTCTATGACCTGTTGACTTATACATCAATACTATCACACCTAGTCCCCGACCAACTGCTGTTCCTTTAAATAGGACCCTCAACTCATCCATCTGTCTTCATAAGTCACTCCAGTCCCCTCTGGCTCCCCCTGTTCCCTGAAAACATGCTCCTAAGTTTGGTTCTATATTGAAATTTGGAAGGATTCTTCTTTTAACCTTCCTTCCTCTACATTTTCTGTATATTTTTATTTTCTTTAAAAATTATGTTAAAACATTGTCCCCACAACACACATACTGACCTACACCCCATTACTACCATACCCACACCAAAAACAGCCCATCTAAGGGGCCAGACTGGCAACCCAAGCACAAAGCCCAGACAGGGTGCAACCTCCAACAAACCACTGCCCCTTTAAACTTCAAGTTTTAGCCAGGCACAGAGGTATACACGTGCGATCCCAGGTACTCAGGGGGCGAGGCAGGAGTACAATCTTGAGGTCAGCCTGGACAACTTAGCAAGACCCTGTCTCAAAATAAAAAATAAAGAGTTGGGGATGCAGATCAGTGGTAGAGCACCCCAGAGTTCAATTCCCAGCAAAGAAAAAAACAAGCCCCCCAAATTTCAAGTTCTGCTGGCGTAGTGGCTATAATTGCAGTCCCCGTTACATCAGGACTGAGGCAGGAGGATTGGGCAACATAGTTAAGAGCCTATCTCAAAAAACGAAACAAACAACATCAACAAAACCAACTTCAAGTTCTCCCCATCTATAAAGCAAAGGGTTAAGCCAATTAGAAGAGACTCAAGTCCCTTCCAGGGGTAGAGTTCCAAAAACCACAGGTATAGTTCAAGAGAACACACAAGCATACCCTGAGCACTACTGCCCCTAAACCTTTGCATATGGGGATGACAAAGGCTGCAATGTGTTTTCAAGCTCTTCTTTGGCCCTTGCACAAGCATTTGGGAGTAGGTGCCCCTATTTCCACTTAGCAGATGAGCAAAGCCAGGCTCAGATAACTTCAGACTTTCCCAGTACATCACCTGCACTGTTCAAATAGCATCCTCTCACTTGGTTAACTACTACTTGTCAGAAACGATGCTAGACACAGGGAGCCTGGCCCACAGTGTAAACAAGTACCCACGAGGCCTTGTCTGCAGAAAGGCTTCCAAGTGCACAGCGCACCTCTCGTCCCTCCCCTTCTCCTCAGAGGTAGGTGCTGCAGAATATTCTGACATTTACTGAGTACCAACTGCAACGTCACCGGAGGATAACACCTTTCCACTCCAGTAACCCTCCAGCCCCCCAAGTCAGGTTCTACAGCATTCCCTTTTCACACGTGACACAGGCACTAAGAGGTTAAGTACCCAGCACCAGGTCTCATGTCCAGCTAATGACAAACCCCGGCACGCRGTTATTCTGGTCTTCCGTCGGTGCTCTGGACCACTGGCCCTGAGGCCTTCCCTTAGGGACCGAGCTCCCGAGACTCGCAGAGCCTTGTCCCCAACGTGCAGCAAGCCGGATCCCCAGCGCGGCGGGATCCAACCGACCCGGTCTGGCCAGGCCCGGGGGCCTTTGCGTTTTAAACCCGGGACGAAACGGCCACCCTAAGCCCGGAGCTCCTCAGTCCTCCGTGCGCAGAGTCTGAACGCAGGAGCTCGCGGAGGGGCGGACGGTGCAAACGCGGGTGCGGCCGCAGCCCTCCTGCTCGGAGACCCCTGGCCGCCGCCGCCGCTCACCTCAGCCGGCGCCTGCCAACGGTTTCAACCGGCGGCCGGGAGCACGTGGAGCCGCTGCGGCCCGCCAGCGCTACAGCAGCCTCTCGAACTTGCCGGCGCAGAATTCACTTCGGAACCGCCCCGCGCGCCTGCGCGCCACGGCCACCCCACCGCCTGTCGGAAGTGACGCCACCGGAAGCTGGGCGGCCGGCGGGGAGGGGGGCGTGGTCGGGATGGTTCCGCGGCGCCTGCCACCCGGCTGCGGCGCTGGGGGCCTGGGCAGCAGGTGAAGAGGCGGCGGCGGGGCAGGGAGCGGCCTCCGAGGGTAAGGTGCCGCCGGCCTCTCGAAGGCGGAGGCGGCAGCGGCCCGGAGCGACTCGCGCAGGCGGAGCGGCCCGGAGCGCCTGGGCGCGCCGCCTCGGCGTCCCGGCCTGCGGGGTACTGTCGGGCTGGCGGCCGGCGCGGCTTGGCGCGCGCCCGTCCCGCGCCCGGCACCCGGGCGCTTCCGCACCTAGTGGCCGGTCCTGCGAGTGCGCCCCCTACCCGGCTGCCCGCCCCGCGCGGGTGCCGCCTCGCTCCGTCCCGCTCCACGCTGTAGTTGGGGAGGTGCCTAAGACCGCGGAGCTCCCCGCCTGGCTCGGCCTCCCGATTTGCATCAGTGGAACGGGTCTGATAGCAGTTCCCACACCGTCTGGTAGGACTCCCGGGTTGGGAGTCCAGCATCTGCCATTTAGTAATTGCTCAATAAACGTTAGCTGTTCTCCGCCCTCACAGTAGGGTCTGCATCCGGCGGTGGTCACTAAGTATCTCGTTGCTTAAATAAGGGAATGAAAGTTGAATGAGCGCTGAGCAAAGTATTATGAAAACCATTAATCCCCCGGCGGTACCTATGGATGATAGGAAGGCTTCTCTGGCAGTGAGCAGTGTTGGGCCTGGAAGAGCAGATGTATTAGTTTGCTAGGGCTGCCATAACAATACAAGTGACTTAGACTACAGACTTAATTTTTCCCACAGTTCTAGAAGTTGGAAGACCAAGATCAAGGATCAGGCAGGTTTGCTTCCCCCCCCCCCTTCCTCAAGCTTTCTCCTTGGCTTGCAGGTGGCCATCTTTGTGCTTGTCCTCATATGGTCTCTCCTCTGTGCTCCTGCATCTCTGATGTCTCTCTGTGGTCCAAATCCTCTCTTCTCATAATGACATCTTTGAGACTGGAGTAGGGCTCACCCTCTTGGCCTGGGTTTTAACTTCATTACCTCTTCAAAGGCTTTGATCTCCATGTGCAGTCACATTTTGGGAACAGGATTGAGCCCTTAACAAGGAATTCACCAGGGGGACAAGGAGGTGAATATTTGCCAACAGAAATGACAGAATGGCCGAGGGGTTGTAAAGCAGGGTGCCCCAGGTGTTTTGTGGTAGTGTTTTTGCACAGGGCACAGCATATTATTCTTGTGCTGTCCTGCATTTTCTTTTTCGTTTACCCCCCCCCCCCAGTTCAAAGAGGATAAACCCTCTTCATTCTTGGTCTGACAGACTTAACTCTCAGGTTTCAGCAATGATGTCTCTTCCTTCAGAAAGTTTTCCCTTGACCCTCCCCGCACAGGTTTCCTCCCCCTACTTAATAATGCTCCTGCAGTGCTGTACTTTTTTTCCCACTGGACTGATGCTTCATGAAGGCGTGGATGAGCATATGGAGTTGTTCACCGTTGTATCCTCAGCACCTGCAGACAGTCGATACTCTGTAAAATTAAGTAATTGATGGGAAACTGAGGGCCAGGGAACAGATCCTGTTCAATTTGCCAGCACTCATCCTTACAACAATATCTTGTACATATTAGATGTACAATACCTATTTAACTGAATTGGCCTTCCTAGAAGACAGTCAACATAAAGCTAAGGCAAGACCAAGGCTTGTTTGCTTAAAACCAGCACTTTTGTCTCTCGGGTGGGGTGAGGGACTAGAAATAAGCGAGTTGAAAGTGCTATATGTATATAATGGAGTTTTATTGAGCCATAAAGAAGAATGAAATATGTCATTTGCTGGAAAATGGATGTGACTTGGGAGATTTTTGTAAAGTCAAATAAGCCAAATTCCGGAAGGCAAGGGTCATATGTTTTCTTTCATATATGGAAGGTTGATAGGAAAAGAGGGGGATCTCATAAAATAGAAGGGAAACCAGTAGAGTAGAGGAAGGGGGCCAGGGTGAGGGAGGAGGGGAAGGAMAGGGGAAACACTGGATAATGAAACTGACCAAATTATATAATGTGCATATACAAAATGTCACAATGGATCCCACTATTGATATCATTATAATTGTATTGATAACAATATAAATTTTTTTTAAGCATAATGGGCAAATACCCCTTAGGATCCTTCTAAGGAAGCTTGGTATTGAGGCACGTGAACTTTGGACCCTTGGAGAAGTAATCTATTAATGGCTTCACTGAAAAACTTTGTCAAACTCATCCATTTGTGTTGGACCAATTGATAGAATTGCAGCACACCCCCACCCCCACCCCAAACAAGGGCTTTTGCTGTAGGTGCTTTCCCTGCAGGTTAAAGTTCCATTCTGGCTCTTGTTCCCTTTAAAAGCACTTCCTCATTCACATCCACCCAAGGGAAGGTTTCTCCTTCCATTTTTCTTTTTCCCTATATTTCCATCGTTTGATATCATTCTAACAAAGCCAAATTTTCTACCTTTATATATCTGGTATAGATCTGTAGCTTTTAGGAAAAGAAAAAAACCTTAGAGTATCTAGCCCAAGGTTCTTGCTGTAGTTTGGGTCTTATATGTTCCCCAGGGGCCCGTATGTTGAACACTTGTTACCTAGACTGGTGCTGTTGGGATGTGGTGAAAAGAAGAGGGGCCTTATAGGAGGCCCTCGGGTCATTAGGGCTGTGCCCTTGAAGTAATGGTGGGGGCCCAGCCTTCTTCCTCTACACTCTGGTCATGAAGTAAGAAGTTTTGGTCCATTATGAATAACTGCCAGGATGTGCTACCACAAAGCCAAAGCAATGGGGCCAACCCATCATGAACTAAAACTATGAGCCAAAATTAACCTTTTCTCTTTATAAGTTGATTATCTCAGGTATTTTCTATAGTAACAGAAAGCTATCACACTGAGCAGSAAACATGGACAAAATCCCTGTGTTCCTCCTGTCACACCAGCACCTTGTATGCCACATATTTGTCCTGAATTGTGTAGAGACTTCATGCAGTGCTTGTCGGTGGGGTGACTTGAATCAGAAAGCAGTAGATTGAAGAGGCAACTGATTTGGTCAAGGGAAGCTTTTGCTAGTGACTTAAGAAGTGTTTCACCTCACGGTTTGGTGGGTCAGGAATTTAGGCAGATGTCAGCTGGGTAATTCTTTAGTTCCATGTGGTTTCATCTGGGACATTGAGTGGTATTCAGCTTCTGGACAGGCTACCCTGGGGAGTATGAGCATGGCTTCCCTGGGATCCGGAGCCCYGGAGCCCTTTTCCCTCTCCAGGTAGTCTATCTAGTTGGATGTCTACAGCTGACTGAGGCTTCCCAGAGCCAGTTTTCCAAAAGATGGGAAGTAAAAGCTTGTCAGCTCGTAGGGCCTGGGCCTGGGAGTGAGCAGTATGTCCCAATGTCTCACTGTCACCCTTCTGTTTAAGTGGTGTACTGTGCACTTATTTTGTTGTCCTTACTAGAATATCAGCTTCATTAGGGTGGGGACCCAGCATGTTTTGTTCTTTGCTATTAACCTATAGCCTAGCACACAGTAGTTATTATAGTTGTCATATGATTAAACTTCCTGTGTACACACAACGGTTTCCTATCTGTTGGTCAGCCTTTTGTTGCTGTAACAAAATCCCTGAGAAAATCAACTTAAAGGAAGAAAGGTTCATCTTGGCTCACAGTCTCAGAGGTGTTAGTCCCAGGTCACTTGGTTATATTGTTTCTGGCCTGTGGTGAGACAGAACACCATGGTGGGGAGCGTGTGACAGAGCTAAGTGGCTCACCTCACAGTGAGCAGGAAGCAGAGAGAGAGGGAGAGCAAGGGCCAGGGGTAAAATATACCCTTTAAGGACACACTCCCTGTGACCTACTTCTTCCAAGTCGCTACCTCCTGTCCACCTGGTGGACCACATAAGCCTTTGGGGGACTATGGCATTATYCCATTGAGAGTTAGTCAGGGTTCTTAGAAGGCCTGTGAAGCTCACTGTGGCTTGCCATCTAGGAGGGCATCTCCTGCCACTGAGTCGCACTCCAGAGGCCTACTGCCTATGGTCTGTCTGCCTAGGTAGCTGCTTGGCTCCTTCCCTGACTTCCCTCACACCTATCAGAGAGGCACAAAGGCCCCGGATYCAGCACGCTGCTGCAGGGTGCCTCCTGTTGTCTGGTGAAGGTAGTTATTTTGACTTGCACCTCATTTCCCTAAGATGGCCCCTGATTTTCCCCAGCTTCCAATTCACTGACCCATAAGTTAGGTGTTTGACAGATGTGGGTTTGATCTCAACTAGTTGTCTTTTTTTTAACCTTGTATGGATATAGGTGTATTGTTTTATTTTTTAATTTAACATAACTAAATAGACCATGAGAGGTACACTTAGTATCATGGTTGTATTCTGGATTTACACTATCAAAAACAGTGACCATTTAAATATAAATTTGTAGGATGAAATTTCAGTTCCTCAGTCATGTTTCAAGGGCACGGTTGTCCCACGTAGCCAGTGGCTACTGTGTTGAGTACCCAGCAGAGAACATTTCCATCCTGCAAATGGTGCTCTTGAGCAGCACTGGTCTAGATGCTGCCAACTGAGCTTCATGGGGGGCGGGGGTATGTGTTTGAGCTGAAGGAGCGCTGCCATGGGGAGGTGCAGAGGAGCGAGTGCTGTGGGGGCTGTGTCATGTCCAGTGGTGGTGTTGAGTCTCCTCTCATGCTCTGCTCCAGGTCTCATGGTTTAGCATGGACCCTGTTGCTGCCCACAGCTGCCATCTTCTCCAACAACTGCATGAGCAGCGCATTCAGGGCCTGCTTTGCGACTGCATGCTGGTGGTGAGAGGGGTCTGCTTCAAAGCACATAAGAACGTTCTGGCAGCCTTCAGCCAGTATTTCAGGTGCGTATCTTGTACAGCCTACCAGCTATGGGGGACACCCATCTAGTATGGAGGCATTTTGATCACATTTT